CCAGGGATCGACATCAACAGGAATCCGACTCACACAATCTAAGGCACTAGGACAGAGAGCACTAGACTTCCTAATGGAGAAAACAAAGATCACAACTCAGGTGAAAGTCACAAAGGAGGTGATCAAGGGACAGGACGACAAGGAAGAAGAAGCAGACGTTTGGGAGTATCCGCAGCAGGATTTGCAAAATCACGACTCTCGGGTGGTGTGTTTGGAGGTCAAATCTGGGGCACCACCTAAGTTTCCGGAGGTGTGGATATTCAGGAGAAGGACGGAACGGATTACGGTCTTCATCTCTACTAAATCGAACCCGTTTTGCTTTAAATGCAGACCAAGAGGGCATCTAGGAATGCACTGCCCTCAGTCAGGTACGGGATCGGGAGGGAAACAGCCTCAACTAAAACAGTCAATGCTGGTGGAAGCAGACAATAAACCAGGATTCTGGTATATTAACTCGGCACAATACAGAGGGTGGATCTTCGACGACAACCTGGAAACACCTAGGTGGGATTGGGTTTTAAACAGCAGTCCCACTGTGAAACCAAACATCTACCCGCCGTATGATAGCTGATGGAGACAGGCAGGGGCGAAACGCATGGAAGACAAGGAAGTAGGCTTCATAACGAAGCCCATGATCGATGAGGACACAGTATTGGATGACAAACAGCGTTTGCAAACTATGGCGGAATTGCACAAGCTGGGACAAGAGGCAAAACTGGCCTTCCTGGAAAACAGGAGGGCAAGGGAGGAGGCAGAGAAAGTAGCGGGTGAAGAAAAGGGAAGGGAAGGAGGTGAGGGGGAGGGAAGTAGCAACTCCCCGGACAACGGCAAGAGCACTAAGGAGCAGAGTAATGAGAAGGAGGGAACCAGGGGGGGGAAGGAAGACGGAGGCCCACAGGCGTCCACGAAGAGGAAACTTTGGGACAGGGAAGTAGCATCATCAACGAGCTCAGGTCAAGAAGCCAAGAGATCCAACACAGGTGGAGGGGAAGAGGAAGATCGAGCGTCGCAGGAAAAACAGCAAGGAACAGTTATGGAGGACGCGACGTCAGAGAAGGGCAAGTCACAGAACGAGCAGATGGACATGTCATCATCAGCAACGGCGGAATCTGCAGCAGCTCCAGCAGCAGCATCAGCATCATCGACCCCTCGAAGGAGCGAGGACACGTCATCAGGTAGCAGCAGCTCAGCACACAACCGGCATAAGGACGGTGGGGGAGAACCAATGGAAGTTTCAGCAGGAGGCTCACAGGAGGGGGGGATCAGCGGATCCGAGGAAGACATGCAACAAGACACGGAGTAGTTAGAGGAGGACGCAGAGGGGGAAGAATGGGAGGACGCAGAAGGGGAAGAGCAGCCAGAAACTTTGGCACAATGGATCAGAACAGTCCACAAGCTGAGATGGGAGCGACATATCGAGTGCGAGGTTCACCTGGCACACCACAAGCACCTGAGCAACCTGAAACAAGCAACCACAGCAGGGGAAGATATCTCTTCAACCAATAGGTTCGAATGGTTGAAGAAGGAACAGGAGATCAATGAGTTCTACGCTGCGCAATATGCTTGGAAGGCACGCCCAGACAACAATGATCTCACTGTGCACAACGCGAGCTACGCCAAGCAATTCATATGGCCCAAAACTTATCAATCACAGGGCCTAAAGAGATCTGAACAGAAAAGAAAAGCACATCAGGAGACAGCGGGCGAGGCAAGCAACATGGAGCAGGGAACGGATGACTCGTCAGAAGAGCTTGAAGAGAGGGAGCAGATTGAGGAGGAAAGGAGACAGAAAGCAATCCTGGAAGCTCAAATCAATGTTCTCAAGGACCAGAACAGGGAGCTAGGGGGCGACACCACCAATTTGCAAAAAATAGCATATGCCCCGCACCCTGACATAAATGCAGCAGCCAAACTCTTCACAAGGCACAACTCGGGAAGGAGAGTTATACTGCCATACTGTTGGAACATTGGTAATTCCGACTGGGAGGTAGCTATCCACCGGTCACTAGCTCTGATCACAGCAAGAGACAGCAAGTGTACAAGGGCTGGACTCCGGGAACGGATCACGAAGGACTTGGCAGACAAAGTGCAGCTATGGGGTAGTACCACAGAGGACCGGGAGGAGTGGGAGGACACAGCGGGAGGCAAACAGACGTTAGACTACGGACCTATCGTCTTCGAGCTATAGGAGAGGGCAAAGTTGACAGAGGGACTCATCTGGATGCCATGGCAGGTAGTGGAAACGATACCTTATGGCCTCCTGGGCGGCTCAAAAGCAGCTGAGTGGGTTGCAAGGGGAGCAGAGATTATCACCAGATCTGGTGTCTTCACCTGGCTGCCGGATTACATAGGGGAAAAATTGGCTCACATGGTCGAGGAGGTGGACTGGGCACAAGGGGACCCGTGAGGAGCTCGCCCCCCCAAGAGACTCCTGTAAAAGATAGACCAGATGGCAGAGAGGCCAGAGGAAGGAAGACTCAAGAGAAGAAGAGTAGCAATCGGGATAGGGGAGAGAGAAGCAGAGATTAGGGTAGTGTCGTGGAATGTTAATGGCATGGCGCAGATTCTGGAAAACAAGGATAAATGGAACAATGTATTGGAAGCTACGGAATGGTTTGGAAGAAACCCACCAGATTTTCTTTGCATRCARGAAACTCACTTAACCAACGCCCSRCATCACCAAAGCCTGCRGCAGAAGATATTAACGCAGCTAAGATGGGTGAAGGCGAGTTACTGGGCCWRGGCGGCRAGGTCACATTCGGCAGGGGTAGTGATCTTGCAAAACAAAAGAGCGGCTGCTGCAAATAAGATAACTCTTCAGGAGGCCTTGGTGGACGAGGGGGAGGGACGTTGGATAAAACTCAACTTCTCGTACCAAGAGGAGCAGTTTACCCTATTCACAGTCTACTGCCCCAACTCACGTCACGACAGATCAGAAATGCTTCAGCTGCTCCAGTCACACATAGAGATTACAAGACATAACATAATGGTGGGGGATTGGAACGCCACATTGGAACCAAGCAAGGACAGATTGATGGGAGGCAACTTGGGATCGGGAGACGAAACGTTGGGGGACGAGGCATTGGCAATTCACGACCTCATGACTGCTTGGTCCCTAGTGGATCCGTTTCGATTACACTGGCTGGACCAGAAACGGTTCACATACGTCAAAAGGAATCGCAGTCAACATATATCAGCCTCACGGATAGATTTCTTCCTTATCTCCGAGGGGCTAATAGAAGCGTTGCAGTCGGTGAGAATAGGAGATCTGCCACACTGCAGCTGCTTAGACCACAAGCCCATCTCCATGGACCTGACCCTGAATAAGTCCTCCCAGCGAGGTAGAAGCTTCTATAAGGTGAATAACTCACTGCTGAAAACACCGGAGTTGAGGGAGGCTATCCTGAGGGTGTGTCTGGCTCACGATAGTGAGACACAGTCCTTTCCAGATTTAATAACGGCCCTATCAGGGGCTACGGCAGCGGTGTCTAGACAGCTAGCGGCTAGAAGAAAAGCCAGGGAGAAGGAATTGCGACAGGCTCTTCGCATAGCGGAAAGGAACATAAGCTGCAATCCTGGTATGGAAATGTACGAAAAAATCATGGAATCAGCAAGAAAAGAACTAGGAGACTGGGAGCGTTGGAAGGCAAGAGGGCTGCAGATGAGAGCTAGAATAAAAGAGTGGGAAGCGGGAGAGCATATGACAAAGTACTTCTTTCAAAAGATTAAAGCTAGGGGTAGAAGCAAACAGATTGTGAAACTAGAGGGCCCACAGGGGGAAGTATCAAACCAGAGGGATTGCTGGAGGTAGCCAACAACTTCTACAACACTCTTTATAGATCCAAGGAGGGAGAGTAGGACCCAAGGCTAGTAAAGGAGACCCGTGATAAGTTCTTAGCATACTTAGACTGCATGCTTAAGAAGGATCGAATACTAATGTTGGATGCCCCGTTATCGCAGGAAGAGCTGAGGGAAGCACTAGACTCTATGACCCCCAACAAAACACCGGGAAGGGACGGACTAACAAGAGAATTCTGGCAGGAGTTTTGGGAGATACTGGGCGGAGAATACGAGGCCTACCTGAATCAAGCCTGGTTGAGGGAGGGCCTAGGAATAGAAGCCTCGACGGGAGTAGTCACGCTTCTCTACAAGAAAGGGGACCCCAAGGATATCAAGAACTACAGGCCGATCACGCTGTTGACTCTCACCCACAAAATCATCGCCAAAGCGCTAGCCAATCGACTGAGGAGGATAACGGACAGATGTTTCCACCTCGATCAGACAGGCTTTGTCTCGGGGAGGTTCATTCTAGACAAAGTGATGACCCTTTCAGAATCGGTCAGATATATAGCGAATAAAAGATTAAACGAGGCTATCCTCTTCTTCGATTTCGAGAAAGCATACGACCAGGTCAACTGGTCATTTCTACAGCAATGCATGGAAAAGATGGGGGTGGGACCCAACTTCCGTAAGTGGATAAGAGTCTTGTACAACGACTCTCACGGTCAGGTGCAGGTCAACGGTCACCTCTCCGGGAGATACAAAATGACCAGGTCAGTCAGACAAGGGGACCCCTTGGCGGCCCCGATCTTCCTGTTCATCATGGAGGCTATAGCCTCCTTCCTCAGGAAGGACCCCTTGATAGATCGGTTGGTAGCAGAACCCGACCAGCAGGGCCGATTAATTAACCTGCCCACCACAATATTATTCGCTGACGACCTTACAGTTCTGATCAGAGCCACGGATTCCTCCTTTCAGGCCCTCACGAAAGCAATGGAGGCCTTCCAACAAGCCTCGGAAATGAGAATCAACTGGCCCAAGACGCTAGGCTGGTGGCTCACATTTGACCACTCTCAGCCCCATCCGCAGCCTACCAACCATGGGGCTATGGAGTGGGCACATCCACAACAGCGTCTGAGATATTTGGGGATCAGGCTAGCAGACACGGGCCCCCACCATTCCATGGCCCCTGAGCAGATGTCTAAAATATTAACAAAGCTAGACGCTTGGTCAAACATCTATACCTCGTTATTCGGTAGGGCACTAATCCTCAATGCCTCCATCTTCTCTATTCTATGGTACGCGGGGACTATATGGTCACCCCCCGGGCGCTCTTTACGAAAGCTTAGAAGGGTAGCGGCAGCTTATCTGTGGACGGGGAACCCAGCCAGAGACAGCTTCAATCCCAAAGTAGCCTGGAGGCAAGTCATACAACTCAAGAGTAAGGGGGGGCTGGGCATCCTTGACCCGGAACAATAGATAAAGGCACTCCAATCCAAGTGGATTATCAAGCTAATTTCTCAACCTCACCTACGTTGGGTCCCTTTGGTCCTGGAACACATTCGAGGACTGTCCAGGTATTCTACCCCTTCCATCATGGAGGGGACTTTCTGGATCTTCTGCAAGGGATGTTCAAAGAGGGGCAGAAGGGGGGAACAGGAAGGGGAGGAAGACTCCACTTCCTCCTTGTACTGGGCCCGGATCCTGAAGATTTGGGAGGAGATATTCCCGGCTAGAGTTAGGAAACCCAGGTCTAAGGCGGAGGTCCTCAAACAGCCTCTATTCTGCAATCCCTGGCTAAAAGACTCCCAAGGGAAGCCAAGGACACTGACAGCAAGAGATACCAGATGGGGCAATTGGGTGGAGCACGGGGTGTTGCAGATTAAACACCTGTGGTCCCAAGAAGAAGGAAGGTGGAAAACAGGGAGGGAGCTAAGAGTCTCGATGAAGGGTTGTCACAGGCTCACAGAAAACCTGAACGACATCCTGATTTCCGTCCCGCAGGAATGGACCCAACTGTTGAGGGCACCGCACAAATGGATATGGTTAGACTGGGCGACTTGGAGCAACAGCACAACACCGGAACATGCTTTCCGCATACATCAGGAGGTGGGTCCTGACAATCAGTGGCTGGAGGGGGAAATGTTTCCTATTTTGTCTCCCGGCGCCACAGTTAGTCCTCTAGACAAGGCAGCGAAAGTAACAGTCGGTATCAGGAAGAATGGGTTAAGGAAAATAAGGGTGATAGAGGATGATGAACTCGCGAAGTTTGCTCCTACAACGACCATACAGGAACTCGAGATAGACCCGGCAGAGTGGGCATGGAACATAAAGGGGAGAGTTTCAGGAATAACAACGAAAGTCAACATCCTGCGGTACACAACCAAGTTGGGCTATAAATTAACAGGGAGATCGATACAGACGGACCAACCCCTAGCCATCAGATGGGAAAAGCGTTATTGTATTCTATTATTAATACATATATCTATCATATAGAATAGAATATATACAATATATATATTCTATACAATATATATATTGTATAGAATATATATATTGTATATATTCTATTCTATATGATAGATATATGTATTAATAATAGTAGGAG